TCCTCAGTCCATTGAAGGCTCTCAACCTGAAAGCACTCTGGAACACTTTTCTTCCACTCCAACAGCACATAGAAGTGGGGAGTGTCCCGATCCACCCTTATGTTCACCACATATATCCTCTGGTCCAGGACAAGAGTCCTCATGTCTGTAGAATTCGCTCTTCTGGCCAAACATCACCAGGGACATCACTTTACCTCAACTTTACCTCAGTATTCTGGTCCTCACACCACTTAGTATAATGGTGGTGGGGTCCATTTTGCTCACCTGGCTCATATCCATATGTGAGACCACCTGCCCCCCTTCTCCAAAGGGGAAGGCTGGACAGGAGATCCCGGACGAGCCACTCCTGTAGGGACTGCTTAAGTCCGGGCCCTCCCGACCTCCCCTCCAAGTGGCCACCAACCCAAGGAGGTATCTCACGTTGGAGCCTCTGCCTAACAGGGCATGTAACAGTGGTATTCAGTCACGATCGGCAGCCACACACATGGGGCAGTGATGGTCACTCTCGACGGTGCCTCACATGGGATGATGGTGGTTGATCTCAGGCAATAAGAACTTACAGGGAAGATAGTAGTCAATTCCTGATAACAGCAGCTGGCATAAGGCAATGGTAGTCCGTCTCTAATAGCATCAACCTGCTCAGAATGATGGCAGTCAGCCTCTGGTGACAACAACTTTGCCTAAAACAATGGTAGTCAGTTTCTAATGACAGCAACTTGCCTAAACAATGGCGGTCAGTCTCTGGTGACAGCAACATGCCTAGAACGATGTTAATCAGTCTTTGATGACAACAACTTACCTAGAACGATAGCAGTCAATCTCTGGCGCTGGCAGAGGCCTCCCTTGTCCACTCTCCTCATCCCTCTGATCTCACTCCATGTAATCCCTTTTTATCTCCCTCAGCTGATCCTATTAAAAAAAAACCTTACCTCCCACTAAAAGATGTATGTTAAACTCTTTCCTAACTCTCCCTCTCTGTTGTAATGTCCAGTGACTGGCCTCCTGTGTTTGCTTTTTTAGCCTAGTTTTTTGCCCAGAACCTCCCCTCTCTATTTTTATTTTTATTTTATTTAGCATGCAGTGTCCTTAAGAGACTTGGGAGGGTGCATGCCAAAGATTTCATTTCCAATGTTTGTTAGGTTTATACTTTGAGGTTCTTCACCAGCATGCTTTAAGCAGAGATTCATTTGAGATGTCTTCTATTGTTATATAAATGATATGTAAGTGCAATTCTTGCTTCTTCAGAGCTGATGTCCAGAGTTGGACAAACAAGTTGTTAGGAATAGCTTCAGAAATTCAGGGGCAAAATGGCAGCAAAAAGAAAACAATACCACAATTGAGTCCAAAATTTCTGTTGCTAAATGATACATTTGTTAAGTTAGTTTTGCCCCATTTTATAACCTTTTTTGCCACAGTTGTTAAGTGAATGACTGCAGTTGTTAAATTAGTAACATGGTTGTTAAGTGAATCTGGCTTCCCCATTGACTTTGCTTGTCAGACCCCAAGACACTTCAACCATCATTTGCCAAGCATCCGAATTTTGATCATATAACATGGGGATGCTGCAATGATGTCAGGTCCCTATAGATCAGGGCTTTTCAACCAGTGGTACTACGGGTACCACCTGTGGTACATTGGCACCTGGCAGGTGGTACGCGACCATCCTAGAAAAGTGATAGCGGGGGGAGGGGAATGAGCTGAACTGGTGGCAGCACCGCACAAGCCTGAGCGAGAGATGGCTGGAGCTGCAGGGCTGTCAGGGCTCAGCGGAAGCGCCAGGATCAGTGCCGCTTTCCAGCTGATCGGCACTTCTTTGGGGCTGTCAGGGCTCAGTGGAAGCGCCAGGATCAGCAGCAGGCTCCAGCTGGAGCTCGGCGCTGATCCTGGTGCTTCTGTTGAGCCCAGAAGAAGCACCAATCAGCTGGAAAGCAGCATTGATCCTGGCACTTCTGCTGAGCCCAGAAGAAGCACCAATCAGCTGGAATGTTGCAGCATCTCCAGGGTCTTGTGATTTACATTCAGATGCTTGGCAACTGATTCATATTTATGACGGTCACAGTGTCCCAGGGTCATGTGAAGTGACCAAAACCTGCTGAAACCACCCAGCAGACGGGGAATAAAAGCCAAACACTGCCCCATCCCACCCCCGCTGCCAATCCTCAACAGAAATGCTCACAACAATGAAAACCTCAAACAGGAGGAAGAGCGCCGCCGGGCTAACTCTACCCAGGCTAGCATTGAGCAGATGTTCTTGTGGTTGAGGTACCACTTGTCTTTCTCTAGGGCTTGTTTGAAGGCCAGAGTAGCAGCAT